ACACACACACACAAGCTGAGCATGACTACATGGAGCAAGAGAATGCAAAGAAAAATATGGCTACCATTATTACTACAGCAATATAGAAATGGTAAGCAAGAGAGAGGATGATTTATGTACATACAGATATATGTATGTATGGTTACATAGATAGATAGATAGATAGATAGATAGATAGATAGATAGATAGATAGATAGATAGATAGATAGATAGATAGATAGACGTTATGTTTGTCTGCATTTCTCCATTTCAGAGATCCCTCTGTGGTCGTAGTTAGCTTCCCAGTACATCTATCCTTCATCCATCCCTCCTTTCCTCCTATTTCTTATCTTTACGTTCCTGCATCCTGCTTCCTACCTTCCACTGTGGCTGTATTTTGCTGATTTTGCTGAGCATATATGTCTTCATAAAGCATATTTTGCACATGCATGCACTACATACTATTTGTGTGAATGTATAAATGTAAATGTGTAGGCTCTGCAGTGCTATTTTTTGTATATGTACGTGATACAAGTGTTGTATCATTTCTGCATGTTCACACAAAATCTGTGTGCATAGTCCTTGGCATGTGTGCATGTGTGTGTTCTTACCTGAGGCCTGGAGGAGGGAGGCTGTGTGTGTGTGCGTCGTGGCCGTGGTCGGGAGGCGGTGTAGTGCCTTAGAGTCTGTCCCTGGGTGGGTAGAGGCTCCATGGGGGAAACGGAGGATCCAGAGCCGGGGAGGGGGCCTGGGCTGAGGCCGCAGCCGGGGAAGGGAGTCTCTCGTCTGTGTAAGCCTCCGCGGCCGGCTGCCTCCTCGTTTGGAGGTTGAGCGGGGATGGAGTAGAGGAGGGGGAGGCTGGGAGGAGGAATGAATGATGCTCCTCTTGCTCCTGATATTGCTTCTGCAGCATCCACTGCCACCACCTCCCTCTCCCTCCGCCTCCTCCCCCTCTGTCCTAGGGGGGAGGGGGACGGGGAAGTGGAAGGGGAAGGGGAGGGGCTTGGGGTTGTGAGTGACAGTGGGGTTGCTGGCAGCAACCAAGGAAGGCCACACCTTCCTCCTCCTCCTCCTCCTCCTCCTTCCTCTCCAGCGCCTCCTCCCCCCTCTCTCTCTGCCTCGCTGTCCCTGGTCTGCTGCTCCCAGTCTGCATCCAGGAGACCTGAGAATGGGGCAATATGACTGATGTGAGGAGAGGCACGGGGGAGATAATGGAAGGCGATATTCAGCCCATGCACTAAGCAGGCATTTTGATGGAATGTACTGCATGTATGTAAATCTAGGACAAGCAGAGAGAAAACAGACAGGAAGCAGAGGATGCTGCAGTTATATTACACAGCACAGTCTGCCACAAAGCCATAACACAGTCACTCACTCAAGACAAGAGGGTGGTGGGATGAAATCCTATTAATCTTTCAGTTTGAAGGCCCTCTGTTGGTCTACGTCTTTCAAGGACCTTTAAAATGCAAACCGGTGAACGCTCAAACGTAGACGTAAGAATAGTTCATAAAATATTGACCTAATTCTTTTAGTGACCCACATCTGTCAAACACAAGTATACAGAAACGTCTCGATGAACAACTTGTTATTTTCATGTATCATTTGGTTTTGTTATTACATCCTTCAAAGAAATCCTCCTGTTAAATCAAAGCAGTTGGGATTAGGTTTCCTTTGAGCCGATGCTTCATTCTCTTCACTCATCATCCCTTCCTCCATCTTCTCCCCATCTCCTCTCTCCCATGGTGAAAGTCACTGGTGTGAAAGTAAACAGGCTATGCTCCAATTAGCCAAACAGGGCTGTGTGTCTGCCACAGAGAGGTTCAGCATGGCACAACACAAATGGAGAACAGGATGGGATGAGGTGAAATAACATGATGGAGGGTAAGACTTATACCTGAGGTCAGAGGTCCTACTGGATTGCTGTATTACTCTGGTATTACAGCTTTATGCTTCTGTAACACCATTCCACTAACAAATCAAATTATGAAGTACAGCATTTCATAAAACTTGTGCAATCTTTCACATTATTACACATTATGTTATACCCATTTACTAAGACATTTTATTACTCATCAAATTACTCGGTTCAAAAAAACCGATGATAAAAGGCAAGAGGGGAATTTTGCAGTTTCATCATAATCTCTTGCCTCTATGTAGTAGAAATTCTCTTGAACTAATGACTTCTTTTAGCATTTCTTTGGACACCTCAATCTCTTTTACCCCTCCACTGGTAAAACAAAACCATTGCTAGTATTTTGCACATTACATGTAAAAAAAAACAAAAGCTAGCTAGGATTGAAAAAAAATAATGTCAAATTATTTACCTTCTTATCTCTGATTAATAATTCTTGCTGTTAAATTACTTAAAATCTGTGTAAATATATCAAGAATAGCCTTTACCTGAAACACCATAAGTAAACAACCTGGCGTATATTCAGTGCCCTCTAGTGGTCAGGAAGAAGAACGCTCACTCTATCAAAAATGATGCCCCAATACAACTCAACTGTATTCTCAGCTCCATTTTGAGGGAGACATATTTCTTCCCAAATTACACTGGTTTGTATTGCAAATAGGTTTCTAATCAACATATCTTGTTGATTAATGTCACATGAAACAATCATGCATGTTGGTTATTTCAATAGGACTTCCTTCTTCATGCAGCCTCTCAGCCCATGGATTTAAAACACACTTGACTGAACACTGACAGCTGTGTTTCAGCAGCTTCTGATTCATTCAGAGCTGCTTTTTGGTGATTCCTGGTTGACTCCTGACCATCCTGACCAATCGTCTCTCAGCAGCAGGTACCAGTTTCTATTTTCTTCCTGATCGTGGCAGTAGCACAACTGGACCATGAACTGTATCCTGACAAACTGATGATTCTTGGATCTGAAGCTGCTTTGAAATTGCTCAAAGTGACTTTCTGACTTGTTACAGTCAATGATTTGTTTTTCCAGACATTTGTTGAGTTCCTCAGACTTTCCCACTGTAGTGTTTGTGTCTGAGTCTAATGAGTGGATCAGATGGTTCTATTTAAGCTGGATCAGAGGAGTCAGCAGCTGTAGTCTATCAGAATCACTCATGGGAAGGTAAGAGGCCATGCCAAAAAGAAAATTTGAGAAACACAACTTTCTTCATCAACAAAATTGATAATTCAATTTGCTCAATGTATATTTTTGACCTTGCAGATTTTGTGATATTTCCAGAAGACTTATAATAAATTTTTGGATGAACCAAAATGCATGATTACTTTTTTTGTTTTTTGTAACAAACATGCATGAGTTTCAATGATTCCATCATAGAAAATTCAGAGTTACAGGAGTCACTGGAAATTCAAGACTGCCATGATAGACGTGGTCTTTACAAGTGCTTGTAAACTTTTATGTACATCTATACTTTAGTTATCTGACACTTTAGTGACTGAAACTTTTTTCTAGAGTTGGTGGAACCAAACTACGGCCAAATAGAGTGTGAATATTGGTCATAGATTTATTAGGTTGGCAATGCTCCAAATTACAGTTAATGTCATGTCAACTATGTTCTGACATGAAGAATACAGTAATGAACTATATTTCGTGGCGGCTCAGGTGGTAGAACGGGTTGTCCACTGATGGTAAGGTTGGCGGTTCGATGCCCGGTCCCCCCCCCGATATGCCGACGTGCCCTTGGAAAAGACACTGAACCCCAAGTTGCTCCCAATGGCAGATTAGCGCCTTGCATGGCAGCTCTGTCACCACTGGTGTGTGCATGGGTGTGAATGGGTGAATGCGAAACACATTGTAAAGCACCTTGGGTACCGCTAAGGTAGAAAGAGGCGCGATATTGTTTGCCATATTTCTGAATCATAGTATTGTCTGTGTTGTTTATTTTAAACTTTTTATCTTGTATTTAGCATGCTGCAGTTGTTATTACAGCAGAAAATGCACCATATTTATTGGCTTTTGCAAGAAAAGCAATCACCTACAAATGCAAATAAATTGAACTGAACTCAAGTGAGCTCAGACTCAGAGAAAGCAAGAGACATTATTGGATATGTTAACAGCACTTGTGTCTTACTTTTAATTGAAGGAGCAGGCCTCAGGCTTGTGGAGTGCAAAGCATTCCTCCAAAATGCTGGGCTGTACTGGTGATAGAGAAAATATATAGCAGTAAGTATGAAGAAAACCAAAAACAGAAACAGTGAGTGACTAACAGAGAAATGGAGGAATAGACGAGTGTGTGTCTCTTACATCATCAGTTGGGAAGTCACTGTCCAGTAGCAGCTCTGGGATGTTGATTCTTTGAGTGTTGCTTACATGTTCTTTTATAAGGCAATCCTTGACAGTAAATGAGGGAAAACATACCAAATAATTATTATCTAGAAGAAAACTCCGATTGATTTTCACACCTATGCTGGGGACAGACATTTAAACATTTCTTTCTCACCTGATGACATTCACCCAATTGGCAAACTGTCTTGTTGTCTCATTAACACATGTTTGTGCGTGTCACAAAACTTTCTGCAGCTTAACAGCGACAAAATTGAGGTAAAATGCCCCAGCAATGAACATTTAGAAAAACAAGCTGTGAGCAACAGTATTGAAGCAAAGAGCCTTGGTGTCATCTTTGATTGTAATGAATTGAATTCTAGCTGAAAAACTTAGAAATACATTTTACCATCTCAGAAATATTGCCTTCATGTCACCTTTTCTGTCAAAGGAAGACAGAAAAGACGAATTCTTTTCATTTTGAACACACTTGAATTTCAGCAAACTTCAGAGGATCAAAATTGCAGCAGTACATCTTATCACCAAAATGAATTATAGAGACCACATTGCTTCAGTTTTAAAGATTTTTAAATTATTTTAAGGATTTGCTTTTATTTTAAAATCTCTTAATGGACTAGCTCCTGACTATTTATCAGATTTATTGGTGAGAGATGCCTCTACTAAATGCCATATTATATAAATGTTTTCTCCTCTGGTCTGTTAAACGTTCTCCAGAGTAGAACTATGACGTATGGACATGCTGCATTCTGTGTCATAAGCGTCACCTCTACAACTGTCTTCCAGGGGAGGCCAGAGCATCTAATTCAGTAGACATTTTTTTTTAGGCTTGCATTTATGCATTTTTCATGTAATTTACTAGTAACATATTTTGTTCTCTGTTTTTGGTCTAAAACACTGCTGTTGCATTTGAACTTTCTGTGTGAACTGTGCTATGCAAATACACTGAGAGAAAGTCCTGGATGAACTGGAAGGTGTGCGGTTTCATTTTTGATTGCGTTAGAAATCTCCCCCTGCCTCCACGGGTTTATCTAGACTAAGATGATCTCTGTATGAGATGCACATGAAACTGATTTTAACCTTTTTATTTGCTTGCACTCAAGATAGCATAATAATATATATAATCATCATCATGTATTTAATAAATATAAGCTAAACGGAGTGCTGTAATCATCCTAACAATGCACCAGACACATAAATGGAAGACTTTCATGCGTATTTACCATTTTGTCCTGTGCCACTGTCAGATCCTGTAGCACCTGTTCTGCAATGCTTTCAGCCAGAGTGACACTCAGTGTTTGTCTCAGTTCACTGCATGGATGAAATGAGATAACAGAGAAAGTCAAGTTAGTGTGCAGCAGTCTGAAGAGTAAATACAAAAGCTATAATTAAGTGGCTGAACATTTACAGTAATTAAAAGTGGATATTGGATAGTAATAACAGTATGACTGTATTTCAATCAGGACTTGAATGCAAAGACCCTTGTACAAACGGTGCCACCTAAGTTTTCCTAGCTTTGCTTTGCTAATTTGTGTCTTGGATAAAAAGCTTAGTATAATACATATAACAATCAATGCAACTTATATGTTGTAGGAGCCTAAATCTATTTCTTTTGGTTCTGGATTTGGTTCTTATTTTATCACGATTATTTCTATTTGGTTTTGATTTGTTGTTCAACAGTAATTTTGATATAGATTATAATTAACATTTTTATTTTGCTAAATTTATCTGTTATTTGGTTAAATGTTGTTAATCATATTTTTGGATATTTGAATTCTGTGTTAGTGTGGTGTTTTGGTTTATTGATTTGTTTTTGATATTTTGGTTCACTATATTAGGGTCCCTTAAATTTGCAAGGGCTCTTGGGAAATGAATGATGGCATGGAGCCAAACAGTTTTTTGACTGCACATACTTTGTATCCTTGTTTTGCTTTATGTTTTCCATCTGTAAATTTTATTTTTGTGAACTAAAGAATCCTGTTTAAAGCGCAACTTGGTGTCAGCTGGATTTTATCTTTGGAGTACACCCAGCAAGGCATACAATGTGGATATTGGAAAGCTACGGGGAAAAGTTAGTCAAGCTGGGTTTCATGAACTTTAGACCATACATATGTCTTTAGTGAGGCAACAAGTGTGCCAGAGATCGTTGGTCAAGAAATACCTCCAGGGGTAAAGTCTGCTAAAGCAAAATCTTACTTTTTCAAATTTCTTTTATATTTATTGGTTATTTAACAAAGAAAATTAGATCAAAGCTCCTTGTAAGCTGTAGTTTAACTCGGCTACCTATTATTTATACTGTCTTTGTCGAAGGTTATTTAAAATTCTTGATAGAGCACCACTTGTAGTAATGAAGTAAATATACTGCTCAGTTCAGATATTTCTTGTTCCTGCGATGTAAATGAAGTGAAGCAAATAATAGCAACACATTGCCAGCCTCAGTTGTGTCCGAGTCCAACAGGTAAAGCCAAACCAATTCAATATATAGCTTTCAGTTTGAGTGTCTTAGATTTACAGTGAGCAAGTAACCTCCATCACAGTAAAGAATATGTTCAATTAATTGTCAAGTAATTCATTAACGTCCTCCCATAACACTTCCACTCATAAATGTACAGTAAAATGATTAAGTGAATCTATTGATATGGTACTTGTTTCACAGTCACCACGATTAGCCACACCGTACAGGATCAGGAGTAAATGAGGTTTATAAAAGACTGAATGATATTGTCTTATATAAATGTCATTACCGCAGTCTGTTGCTGATGATTTGGCCTGTGCCCTCCACCAGAGTGCTTCTCATGAATATGTGTATCTGTCTGCTTCTTTTTGACACACATTCTAACAGACACTCGCAAACACTGGAATGCTGGACCATCCGTGGGCGCACTGCCTCTGCACACCTCATCAGGTCTTGAGCCAATTCCTGTAACAAAAAGACTAGGTCCTAAGTATGACCAAGACTGAGAATATGAGTCACAAAGTCTGAGTCAAGACTGAAGCTGGCAAGAAAGAGTCCTCCCTCAAACCAAGCTTGAACTAGTATCTCCTGGTCACCTTTAGAAATGTATTTTATGCTGTTATTTTAGACACACTCAGGACCACGGGGGAAAAATGCTCTGGCATGTTTGTATGTCTTTAGAACATGGCCAAGTCCAGGATGCAGTTTCAGTGTTGCTGCAGTGGAATCATTTTGGGGAATCATTTGCATGCAGCGCTAAAAAGGCTAAATCACTGAAAAAACACAAGTTCAACATAAGCAAAACAAAAGACAATCAAATAAAGTAGAAAACAACCAAATTAATCCGAAAGGGGAGCAAAAACTCAGAGCACAAGATGACAAGCAGGGAACAAGACAAAGAGGGGAGGTAAAACCAATTAAAGCTGCAAGCGGCGATGGACGGGTCCTCATTGCAGATCGGAGCACGTGCGGCCTAGTTACGAGCCACTTTCTGTTTAGTGGTGAGCTGTGGCAGCGTGCATCGCGTGGCATGTTGGCAAAGCGCTCTGGCTAAGACTCGGAACATGCATGTAAAGTTTTAGGCCGATCGGAGCACACACAGGCCAGTTACACAGCACGTCTCGTATTTTAGCGTTTTATGGCGTTGTGGCCAAATTCCAGTGGCCGCCATTTTCACGCCAGTAGACGTTTGCAGTCCGTTTTACTAACTTTTAATCACAACCTCCTGTAGTTTGTGCTGGCCAAGTTTCAGGTGTGTACGACGTACCCCCAAGGAGGAGATAGATTTTGAAAATGGCCCGGCATGTTCGCTGTTTTTCTAACATGGTGGATTTCCTGTTGGGTTTACAGAAACATGCTAGGGACTTTTTTGTGTGGCACAAGTTGTGACATATGTGTACCGAATTTTGTAGTTCTAGGTGAAACGTAGCCCCAATGGAAAATATTGTAGGGGGCACAGTTGAGCTGTGTTGCATTTTAGAGCTTGGTGCTGGTCGACTTTTTTGTTCGTGCCAACCAGCTCCTTATGGCTATGAAACTGCATAGCTCTAGGCCAAACGTGCTTCCGATGGAACTGAAATTCGAAATTTTGAAATTTTGAAGGTGGCGCTGTGGAGCCATTTTGGCAGTGACATGTCCACGTCCCTGATAGTTTCCGATTTTCGCCAGTCCTGATGTGTGTGCCAATTTTGGTGAGTTTTTGAGCACATATTGGCCCTCAAAAATACGTTCAAAGATTGCGTATCATAATAATAATAATCACAAGGGTTTCAATAGGGTCCTTGCACTGGTGTGCTCTCACCCTAACTATGACATACAAAAGTAACTATCAAAACGCAACAGAAAGTGACAAACCCAGAAGACATGGGGAAGTTAAATTACTGCATGAAATGCAAAGGAGAACCAGAGGAAAAACAGGAGACATGATGGTGACCATAACAGAAGTCACCATTGTGGTTGTGTCACAGTATTCTGTTCCAAAGAAGCCGATGCCTCATTTGACGACACATTTTTTACATAAGCCACCAACAACAAGTTTAGAACAGCAACCTACATGCTGAAAAAGGCAAGTTTTTAAGTAGACCTTGCAATAAACTGCTCGGTTCTTTCAGTGAATTAACCATTCTAACAACAGTGCTCACCTCTCTGCACACAAAAGTTCCACTTAAACAATTCCCTTCAATGCTATCCTCAAGTCTGTTTCACTGCTGGTACTGCAGCTGATAGAACACAGATCAGAAAATGGATTATGCTACAGAGATTTAGTTGGTGATTCTAAATTGTCTGTAGGTATGAGTGTGCTTGGTTGTCTGTCTCTAAGTGTAGCCCTGTGATAGACTGGTGACCTGTCCAGGGTGTCTGCTGCCTTCAACCTGAGTCGGCTGGGATAGACTCCAGCCCCCCTGCAACCCTACTGAGGATTAAGCGGTGTATAGATAATGGATGGATAGATGTTTAACAGTTTTCTACCAGCATTTCTGTCTTGCATCATTTGCAGTAGCAGCACTTTTTACTGTCATACATTCTTATATTCCTCATTGTTCTGCATTAAAACAACCTGTTGACTGAAGCAGCTGCACACCATTGTTTCATTTTGTGCAGAATTTTTTTGATTGTTGTCTGGGAAGGGAATCCAACATATAACAGTGAGAAGTACAGACATAGTCTGAACTCTGTTCTATGAAGTGTAAAATATCTTGATTTCAACAGTATTTGCTCAGAGGTTTGGCCTGTGTTCTGAGAGTGTATTATAATGTGTACCTGTAAGCTTCGAGTGAACTCATTTGTCAGCGCAGTAGCAGTGTCAGTGAGGATGCTGTTCACCAAGTTTGCATCAAAGGCACAGTTCCGGCCTGTCTCATGTAGTGAGGGAAGAAGCTGTACAAGTAAAGCCAACAGAAACATTAGTGGTATAAACATAAACAAAAACAAAACAAAAAAATAATAATATTTTTTGCAAAGATGAGGCACAACACATTGTTGACATTTCTTACTGTATTGCATTCCACTTCAAAACCACTAACTCAAAAATAAACGTGACTAAAATAATGGCTCTCTGACAGTTTCAATCAAACCTGTAGAATATCTTTGTTGAGACAGAATTTATAGCTAACGTCCTGCAAGATTATGTATGTATAAATAATAAAATGTTCACTGAGTTCATAGGTACATAGATTGCTTGTGATCATTTTGGGCAAAAATGGAATGATTCAGCAGTTTCCAAAACTTGCAGCCTTTACCTTGAAAGAATCCCTGGCATTTTGAAGCACCTCATGTGCTGTCAAGATGTCAGCCTGGACTTCCTGAATGTTACATTGGCTTAAACGTTGAATGCTGTCTTCCAATTGCCGACACATGCCCAGGATCAACTAAAATGGAAAACAACAGACACAGACGGAGCTGTAGATACAGACCAAGACAGAAAGTGGCACACAGGGCCAGTAAGATTCAGTTTGTCAGGTGAAGCTATAACACACTATGTCTAGGTTAAAGCTTTGACTTTTTCCCCCCTGTTTTTCACACTTCTTAATGTTCCTGCAGGGCAGGAAGGACCTCCACACCATTTTGTATCTGCTTTGCTTTTGCTCTGCTTGTGTTCATCTTCAACACATTCCTTATCACTGGATTTTTGTTTGCTATGCTCATGTATGTTATGTGTAATGTTCCACTATACTCCATGCTTTTAGGAGTACAGTAGTCTAAAAGAAAAAAAAAAAAAAAACATGATTAAGAATCATAGTAACAGAATAAAAAAAAAAAATTATATAGAAATTTGACCAACCTTTGACTTAAATCTATATTCAATATTTGAACAAAATATCTTCCATTGACAGTCATTAAAACACTGTTTTTTAAGCTCCTTCATTCTTCATTCTATCATGAGCATCAGAGTTGATCAGCATTATGGTCATAAGTAGTATAATAATAATTCTGATACCTTTTCAGATTGTTGAGTCCTAAACACCTGAGATTGAAGTTCCACGCCATCAGACTGGATCTGGTTGTTTCGAACTAAACACTGCTGAATCTGAATACAAACATAATTATATGAATAATTGTAACAATTATATCTTATTGAGACATTACAGTTGATGTTTGTAGGTGTAGCAATACACATACGTATATATGTATACAGTTTATATATTTATTCGTATGAAACACCTACAATACCTATATGTAAATTTTTGTCTTTCACAAAGGGCAGGTTGTATGATGGACATCAGACAAATGACAAATACCTTCGATATACAGTAAATCATTAACATTTTCATAGACTTTTGAGATTGGGGATTTTTGTCACATTTGAATGTCTAAACACAGACATTCACACCGACCTTGTTCAGGGCTTCTTTGGTTCTGTCTGGGTTGCTGCGGTAACTCTGTGTGATATCAGCCAGGGGCAGAGACACCTGCCGCAGAGTGAAGTTTCTGCACAACAAAGACCTCCATCATCAAAATATATACCCATACAACTGTGCAGAGGGCAACTGTACAGAAAAATACACTTGACTTTAAATTTTGTGTCATGTTGATCTATCAGGCATTCTGTCTGTCACTTGAAATTCTGTGTAGACATTAATGCTCCCCTTGAATCCTGAACTTTGGTGATGGCTGGATTTTGCTCCAAGTGCCACCATGAGTGTGTTGTAACTGTTACCTTAAAAATGAAATTGAAAGCTGGTGGGAAGGTTTTTGGTTCAAGCCCAGCACCTCCAAGCTGCTGCTGTTGGCCCTTGACCAAGGCCCTTAACCCTTTTTGTTCCAGCTGTAGTGTGGCTGACCCTGCACTCTGATCCACATCCCAGCTTCCAAACAAGCTGGGATATGCAAAGACTGCATTGCGTTGTACTCAACAACAACAAAGTTGAAACTAGTCTAATCTCATTCTTCAATGCAGAAAGCCAGAGAATGGAATGAACCCTCAAAGAATGATTATAGCAGAAGAGACAACTTTACATCAAAAAAGGAT